GGGGCTGATCCACTGACCGCCTCCAGCAGTTGTCCCCGCGGCGCCCCTTGGGCGGGGGGGGGCGGCCCTTCCTCGGAGATGCCAGTCGAGGTCAGCGCTGGGCTGGAAGTCCTGCCACTTGCAGCAGGCATGCCCAGGTGGCGGCGCACGCGTAGCTGGAGGGGCCCTGCCCAGGCTTGCCGTCGTGGAGGCAGCCGTCGTGGCTCACCATTTTGCGACGCTGCTCGAATAGGTCGGGCGGCGCCAGAGGATTGCAATTATTCGGCAAATCTCCCCCAGCTGCGGCCCCGGGGTAGGCGGCTGTCGCAGGAGGGTCTGGAAGCCCAGGGGTCGCTGATCTGCTTTCTTCTGTGCCTCGCGGTCTTCGGCGTGCTTGTCTTGCTCGGCCGCGAGTCGGGCAAGTTCTTCCTGGGCGAGGTCGGGGGTCTCAGAGCCGACGGGGGGCTGCCGGATCTCGTCGCAAGTGAAGCCAGGCGCCGCGTCGAGCTGCCGCCCCCAGGGCACGGGCAAACTGCGCCCAGAGCCAGGCTGCGCCCGCCCCGTCGACGAGGATGTGCACGCGGGATTCGGTGTCGGAGGCGGCCATTCTCGCGTCGAGCACCACGACGACGCCTTCTTGCGCTCGGGCGAAGGCAACGCTGATCCGACGCGGGTCGTCGACGAAGCCCCACTGCACGCGGGAGTTGGACCAGGTGGCGCATAAAACTACACGTTTCGCCTCGCCCCCCTGGCCGCCGTCGATGGTCGACACACCGATGAGCCCTCTGTCCAATGGACGCTGGTGGGCTCGAGGCCGCTGACTTGGAGGTTAAGGCCGTTGAGGGCGCTGGCGGGTCGCCTGCCAAACACCTGTCCGGCAGGGGCACCTTTGCCCTTCCCTGGCCCTTTTTGGAGGAGCGCGGGCACGCGGGGTTGTTGAGGCGCGGGAGCTGGGGGGGCCTTTGAGGCGGGACACGCCCATGCCCTCACTTACTCACGGGTCTGTCGTGGTAGGCTTGCAGGAAGGTCGCGGGGTCGACAGGCCAGCCTTTCCGGAGGTTGTCCTCGACGGCCCTAAACACCTCGCAGACGGTTGCGGCCTCTCTAAAGCTAGCGGCGCCTTCCGCCACGGTTGCGGGGAGCTCTTTCGCTTCCTCGCGAATTACCAAAAACCGGATGCGGCCCCCAGCCAGGGCGCCGCGCTGGGCATTTTGGAAGCCGTCGGTTCCGATGAGCGCGGGGTCGCTGCCGCTGCTCTACGGGGGGTCGAGTGCGTCGTCGCGGTGGGCTGGCTTGGCCCTCCTCCAAGGCAGCCCAGGGATCAGGGGCTTCTGGGCGACGCATTGGGTGAGGCCGGAGAGCAGCTTTCCCTCCTAGAAGCAGGTGGGAAGGCCATTGCAGGAAACTGGGGTGCACCGGCAGCACTGGTCGAATAACACCTTGTTGTCGCCCCCCCTGCCCAACGAGTCTTGGAAACGCGTGAATACCGAGAGCGCCAGGCCAAGCGCCGCGGCCCTCGGGGACACAAAGGTGGGGCTGAGCTGATTCTCGCCCCCGCATAGGACGAGTCGTCCGCCGCTGCGGGCAGTTATGGCGAGGCGGATGGCGGCGAGAGCCTCAATGGATTGCCCTGCTTCGTCCAGGATGGCGAGCTGGACCCTGGGGGCGCTGGGGCTGTCGAGGTCGGCTGCGAGTTCGCGGGTGGCGAGGACCAGTCGGGAGTTCTGTAGGGCGTGCCTTCTCTTGCGGGCGATAACTGTCTGGCTCACATCGCCGCGAAGGTCGTGGTTGGCCCGTCGATACCGATCAAGAGGGGTGAGTTCCTGGGACTCAGGGTTGGTCACCTCGTCGGGGCTGACGAGCCTAACCGCCATGTGGGGGAAGCCGCCGTCCTGATGGAGCTTGCCTGCCCGTTGCGCGTCGAAGAGGTACTTGGCAGGCATGTCGGCCCCTTTGTTGGAGAGGCCGACCGTCCACCCTGGGGGGGTGCAGGGAAGCCATAGGTCCACTATGGCAGCGATTGTCTTGGTCTCGCCGGTCCCAGGGGGGCCGTGCACGAGAAGGATCATGGCGTCCAACGACTGCTGTGGGGCTCGGGCCTGCGCTGGGTTGAGCCCGTGTCGGGTCGCGGGGTCCTCCGCAAGGTGCGCAGAGGGGAGGGTAGGGGCCGCTGAAAGACGCTGCAGGGCCATTGCTCGACCTCGGGGTCGGAGAAAGGCTCGGCGTGCTGCGGGGTAAGGTGGCCCTCGGGGTCGGTGACCATGTCGGTGACCATGAAGTCCAGAATGGCGGCTGCGCGCGCCCTCAGGAGACTCCCAGCGGTCTGTAGGTGGCAGAACGGAAGGCCATCACGTACGGGATGACGTAGGGGGATGCCCTACATGTCGTTAGGCTCGGCCCCTAACATGAACAGGCTCTGAACAGCACTCCATGCCCTGAAGGCCTGTGTCTGAGCTGGGGCACGATCGATTCGGTACCAGCCTTCGCCGGGAGGGGGGCGGTCATGGCCGGAATCGATGGGGTGTATGGAGCGTCCCTTCCGTGCGTCCACGGCTGCAATGAAGCAATTGGTTGGGTATCGCGCGGTGGGGGAGCTGGCTGCGCGCGCACCTGGTGAGGGGGGACCTCAGAGAGGCGCCCAGTGACGAGTGACCTCCACAAGACCAGGAGCATGAGGACCCGTAGGTCATCCTTGTTCCAGTCGATGCGCCTGTGGCCCTCCCAGGTGAAGATGTGATGCTCCCATTCGCCATCCTTGTGGTTGCTGGGCAGGTTCTGCAGCTTCCAGTCCTGGACCATCTGGTGGGGCCGCCTGGGGTTGTACTTTTGAATGGCGACGTCCAGCGCGCACGTCGTCTTCCTGATGAGCTGCCCTCTGACGCGGCCGGTCCCATCGTCCTCCGGTTCTAGTCCAGCCAGGAGTTCGATCTCGAACACCTGGTAGAGCTTCCAGCCCTTGGTATGGAGGTCCCTCTGCCACCTGTGGGGCAGGGCGGCTGCTCCAAGTATGGGGCCTGTGGGTCGCTTGATAAGCTGCACCCACAGCGCTACAATCGACCGAAGACAAGGTGTGCCTGAAGTGATCCATGTGCCAGCTTCCTGCAGTCAGAATCTGAGGACGCTATTTGGGCTTCACATAATCCTGGCCCCAGCGGGCGAGAAAGGGAGGCCAACAAATGCGCTTCCTGCATCGTTTCCAGCAATTCCGGCAAATCTGACAGAATCTGGAGCAGAATCCCCAACCGGCGTTATCGCTCGGGACGTCCTCGCAAAATCAGCCCCAGGGGAGGGTGCCCGCACCATTTCTGGCGAATCCGACGCAGAATCCCAAACTGGCGCCATCGCTCGGGACATTGAAAAACCAGCCTCGAGGGAGGGGTCGACGGCGTCCAGGAAAAAACGCATTCCATCACGAGCGGCGGACATATCCGTATCCGCGCCCTCACGGTCTGGACTCTGGGGCGCAATCCCGCGGATACGCAGTCGCACGGATAAGATCCGCGAGGAGCATCCGCAAAAAATGCTCCGTATCCGCGGGGTGGCGGTCCAGGGACCTGGTCCGCGAGGCCGCGGATACAGATACGCTTTTGCCCACGACTCCTCAACTCTATCAACCTCAGAGTGGCTGGCTAATACCAATAAATCCCCTGGAGCGGTCTGCATCGTCGTCGTCGTCGTCGTCGCCGTCGTCGTCGTCGTCGTCGTCGTCCCCCTCCAGGGTCGGCGGCACTGGCCGTAAGGCTTTCGCAAGATCAATGAACCGCGGTTTGCGCGCCCAAGACTCACGGGTGCCTGGCCAGAGCCGGGCAGAGGCAGGTCCCGGTGGGAGACGCTCGAGAGGCAGCAAAGGCACGGTCGGCCGCGAGGAGCCGCCGCTTCTCCGTTCGACATGCTCCCTCCTCCCCTCCTTCTCTTGCCCCTCCTCCTTGCCTTCTCCCTCCTCCTGCTCCTCCTCCTCCTCCTCCTCCTCCTTCTCCTCCTCCTTGCCTTCTTCCTCCTCCTCCTCCTCCTCTTCCTCCTCCTCTTCCACCTCTTCCTCCTCCTCCTCCTCCTCTTCCTCCTCCTCCGCATCATCATCATCCATGCCTTTTTCCTTATGAATAACTCCTCCCTGTCGCACCCCGAAGCCGGTCGAAAGGGCGGGCTAGGCGTTTCGTCCTGCCAGCTTGGAAATTCGCCCATGGACAGTTTCACAGATGAAGGGCGGGTCGCTTCCAAAACGTGGCTCTCGCCATGGCGCCGCGCACATGCGTCTTAAAAAAGTACACAAGAGTTTCAAAAAGCGAGGAGGGCGGCTTTCAAAATGTGGCTCTCGCTTGACGCCGCGCACATTCGTCTTCAAAATTTGTCAGAGTTTCACGGATTGAAGGCGATTGGTTTTCAAAATATGGCTCAAGCCTTTGAACCGCGTATACTCATCTAAAAAAAACGCAACCGTTTCAAGGATTTGAGGGCGGCTGGCTTTCAACATGTGGCTCTCGCCCTAACGCCGCGCGTATTCGCTCTAAACAATTACAACAGCTTCACGGGTTCCGACGGTCAACGTATCAGAAATTGCGTTCTGGAAAGATTCAGAATTGTGAGGGTGCAACAGTTATGTTGATTCGCGGAGTTGAAGTCCCAAAACTGGTCTTCTGGCACTGTTCAAGATCGTGAGAACGCAACAGTCAAGCTGATCCGTGGCGTTGGATTCCCGAGAATGGTGTTTTGGCACGCTCGAGGGTCTTCAAGCGGTTGTCTTCCAACGAGGCAGTTCGCTCAGTGGAAAAGAATTCTTGTAGGGGCCTATGAAGAGGGAGTTTGGAGGGAGGGTTTATTCCAACATCGTTGATGACTCTTGGGTTTACGCTGGTCCTCCTCCTCCTCCTTGCCTTCTCCCTCCTCCTTGAATTGCTGCCCTTCTTTCCCGTACTTCCCTGCCCTGCTTGCCTCATTTACTTGTCCCTCCTCCCCTACTTGCTTTCCTCCCCCATTCTTGCTCCTCCTCCTCCTCCTCATCCTTCTCCTCCTCCGCCTCGGGCCTTATAGTCCCGAGGGGCACGTCCAGCAGTGCTGCGAAGAACACAGATCCGATGCACTGCAGCAGAATGACCACCCACGGGAAGTCTGTGGTGACGGCGATCTGCTTGTTAAGCAAGGTCCTTCGCCATGCAAAACGGTAGAAGACAATCATGCAACCAAAACCATTTGGCAGCTGTAATCACTCCGTAGGTCGCCCCAAGCAGTCCAGACGACGAGTCCCAAACTTCGCGAGTGTGGCCACACCACCACCACAACCACCACAAAAAGATCTACAGCACGCGTTAGCGCTGCAGCGTTCGATCTGTTATGTCGTATTCGGCTCCCCTCGCAAGAGCATAAGATGTAGGGGAATAGTACGCGGTTTCACACGAAAATAGGCAGACGCAATCTGACGCACGCAGAGCAAGACGGACGCAGGTAGATGCAAAGACAAACAGATGGACAGACATTACCAAAAAACGCACGGCACATGAAAGGACTGCACACAGCGAGAGAGAGAGAGAGAGAAAGAGAAAACATGAGAGAGATGCGTGTACATATACATATGCATGTGTATTTCAGCGTGTGTATGTAAATCCCACCAGCCCGTTATTGCGTGAGTGATTTCGAGCGTATCCTGTTCCACACCCCTTCTTCCCCTTCGGGGAAGGGGGTCGATCACTGCGCCCTATTAAGAAACACCCCCTCCCCAGGCGCCCGGCAACCAACCAGGACCTATAAAGTTCCCCACACCAAACCGATCAAAACCATTTGTTTTATTTAGCAAGGGTTGCGCGAAGCGTCTCAAGACAAGTTTCGAAAAAGGCGTGCGTGCCAAAAACGGGGGCGACCCCGTTTTTATCATTGACGGCGATCCACGTTTGTGGGAAGCCAACGATCAAAACCAATACAAAATCCGCCGATCCGGCGTGCGAGTTTGAAAAAGCCGCAGCTACAGCCTCCAGCCTACGGCCTGAGCTTCAGCTCTGCCGGGGAGGGCCGGGGGGGCTCTGCCGGGAAAGGGGGGGAGGGGGGGGGGGGGGACGAGTTGTGCTCCGTTTTCTGGGGGGGCTCCTAGGGCTTGTCGCGGCTACCCGCATGTCTGTCGGCGGTGGACAAACCTCCCTCTGGTAGACCTCCCCTTCATGAAAACGGCCGGGGACCGAAACCGACGGACCTGGACCCGCAAAAATGACGGCCGCGACGCCCTCTCGCGAACCAAAAACGGCCAAGTCAGGGTAGGAGGTCTGTCCACCCCGACTCTGGGGAAGGCATTTTGCTTACACCCCTCACGAGGATCGTGGCCTCCGAGGGGGTCCCGAACTCGAGTACCCCCCCCTCCCGCCCCAAGGAGCTCCCAAGAGGCCCCAAGAAGCTCCCAAGAGGCCCCCGATAAGCTCCAAGAGGCCCCAACGAGGCCCCCAAGAGGCCCCAAAGTGGCCCCAGGAAGCCCCGCAACTGCCCAAGAGGCCCGGGGGGCCTCAAAACTGCCTCTCAGAGGCCCCGAAGAGGCCAACCACGAGATCCCAACCAACATCCATGAGGCATCTGACCCACCACCCAGGCACGGTGGCGGGATAGGCCGAAGGCCACTAGGTCCGCCGCCCCCTGCTTGCAGGGGTGCACGGCGTGCTGGATGTTTCAGGTTTTGGTTTTGGTTCTTTTTCCAAAAGAACTCCCCAGTGGGCTCCGGCCGAACCCGCCGGCCACCCGGAAGGGTGCTCAACGACCGGAAAAAATCCTCCAAAAAACGGCCGTTTCGCTCGGGACATCCTCAAAAAATCGCGAAGATGGCCCAAGATGGCCTCCAAGTCCGCCCGAGATGGTCCAAGACGGCCTCCAAAACGGCCCAAGAGAGTCCAAGACGGCCCAAGACGGCCCAAGAGGCCCCCCAGAGGCCTCCCAGACGGCCCAAGAGGCCTCCAAGAGGTCCTCCAGGAGAGTCCGAAGAGGCCAAAATCATTGATTTGTCCTTGGTTTTTGAAGGATTCTGGCATTTGCGCCTTTTCGGCTCTCCGACGGCTCGAGACGGCCCAAGAAGCCCCCAAGATCGCCCAAGAGGCCCCCAAGAGAGCCCCATGATGGCCCAAGTGGCCTCCAAGATGGCCCCTAGAGGGCCCCAAGAGGGCCCAAGAGGCCTCCAACACGCCCAAGATGGCCTCCCAGACGCCCAAGATGGCCTCCAAGACGGCCCTGGAGCATTCCAAGCGGGCCCCAAGTCGGCCCATAGAGGCCCCCCAAACGGCTTCCGACGGCTTCAGACGTGCCAGGAACCCACCAAGATGGCCGAAGTTGGCTCGAAGCTGGCCCGAGACGGCCCAAAAAGCCCCAAAGATCGCCCAAAGCTTGCCCAAGAGGCCTCCAAGACGGCCAAGATGACCTTCAAGATGCCCACGTGTTCCCCGAAGGCTTTCCAAACCGATTCGGGGAACACGTGGTCCGATAGCTTGGCAGGTCTGGCCTCAACGTTCGGCCACATAGGCGCTTCCAAAAAGGCAGGGGGCGGCGGTGATTCGCCGTAGGCGTCTTCGATCCGCCGCCCCCTGCTTGCAGGGGTGCACGGCATGCTGGATGTTTCAGGTTTTGGTTTTGGTTTTTTTCCAAAAGAACTCCCCAGTGGGCTCCGGCAGAACCCGCCGGCCACCCGGAAGGTGCTCAACGACCGGAAAAAATCCTCCAAAAAACGGCCGTTTCGCTCGGGACATCCTCAAACAATCGCGAAGATGGCCCAAGATGGCCTCCAAGTCCGCCCGAGATGGTCCAAGACGGCCTCCAAAACGGCCCAAGAGAGTCCAAGACGGCCCAAGACGGCCCAAGAGGCCCCCCAGAGGCCTCCCAGACGGCCCAAGAGGCCTCCAAGAGGTCCTCCAGGAGAGTCCGAAGAGGCCAAAATCATTGATTTTCCTTGGTTTTTGAAGGATTTTGGCATTTGCGCCTTTTCGGCTCTCCGACGGCTCAAGACGGCCCAAGAAGCCCCCAAGATCGCCCAAGAGGCCCCCAAGAGAGCCCCATGATGGCCCAAGTGGCCTCCAAGATGGCCCCTAGAGGGCCCCAAGAGGGCCCAAGAGGCCTCCAACACGCCCAAGATGGCCTCCCAGACCCCCAAGATGGCCTCCAAGACGGCCCTGGAGCATTCCAAGCGGGCCCCAAGTCGGCCTCTATCCCCCCAAACGGCTTCCGACGGCTTCAGACGTGCCAGGAACCCACCAAGATGGCCGAAGTTGGCTCGAAGCTGGCCCGAGACGGCCCAAAAAGCCCCAAAGATCGCCCAAAGCTTGCCCAAGAGGCCTCCAAGACGGCCAAGATGACCTTCAAGATGCCCACGTGTTCCCCGAAGGCTTTCCAAACCGATTCGGGGAACACATGGTCCGATAGCTTGGCAGGTCTGGCCTCAACGTTCGGCCACATAGGCGCTTCCAAAAAGGCAGGGGGCGGCGGTGATTCGCCGTAGGCGTCTTCGATCCGCCGCCCCCTGCTTGCAGGGGTGCACGGCGTGCTGGATGTTTCAGGTTTTGGTTTTGGTTCTTTTTCTAAAAGAACTCCCCAGTGGGCTTCGGCCCGTCCCGCCGGCCACCCGTAATTTTCCCAAAATCCGTCTGTCAATGCCTTTGTTGCCCAACTTGGCCCAAGATGGCCTCCAAGACGGCCAAGATGGCCCAAGATGGCCTCCAAGATGCCTCCCAGACGGCCAAGATGGCCTCCAAGACGGGTAAGATGGCTCCAAGATGCCTCCAAGACGGCCCAAGATGCCCTCCAAGACGGCCAAGATGGCCCCAAGATGCCTCCAAGATGGCCCAAGAGGCCTCCAAGACGTTCTCCAGGAGAGCCCGAAGAGGCCAAAATCATTGGTTTCCTTAGGTTTTTGAAGGTTTTTTGCGTTTTCTTCTTTTCGGCCTTCCGACGGCCCAAGAGGCCCCCAAGATCGCCCAAGAGGCCTCCAAGAAGGCCCTATGACGGCCCAAGGGCCCCCCAAGACGGCCCCAAGAGCGCCCCAAGACGGCCCAAGAGGCCTCCAAGACGCCCAACATGGCCTCCAAGACGGCCCTGAAGCGCCCCAAGAGGGCCCCAAGACGGCCCAGAGAGGCCCCCAAGACGGCTCCAGACGGCGTCAGACGGACCAGGAACGCCCTAAGACGGCCAAAGAGACCCCCAGGAAGCCCCCAAAGGCCCCCAAGAGGCCCAAGGAGGCCCCCAAGATGCCTCCAAGAGGCCTCGAAGAGGCCCCCAAGAAGCCCCCAACAGACCCCAAGGGTGCCCCAAGAGACTCCTAACAACCCTCATCCTCCTACTCTATTTCTTCCTCTTCCTCTTCCTGTTCATAATCATTCTCTCCCATGTGTTCCCCGAAAGCTTTCCAAACCGACTCGGGGAACTCATGGTCCGATAGCTTGGCCAAGCTCTAGTCCAACTTTCGGCCACATCGGCGTTTCCAAAAAGGCAGGGGGCGGCGGTGATTCGCCGTAGGCGTCTTCGATAAATGCAGAGTGAGAAGGGGAGGGGGGGAAAAAGAGAGCAGGGACGAGGGCGAAGGAGGATCACATCAGTCGGAGCGCCCCAGATCGACGCCACTGGCCGGAGGCCACTACACTACTCGTGGGCCCCGCGAACACGTTGTATTGTGTTGTTGATCGGGACGGCGGGGGGATATATCAGATTGCCTGCTGCGCGCAGGCGCACCATCCGTGTCAAAAAATACAATTATCCCGGCAAAGCAACCTAACATCGATGTGTAGGAGCATATCTGGAAGCATTCCCCTTAAGATTCGGATGAGAATCCAGTTGTAGAATTCTGCTGTTCTCGCAGTCGTAGTCGCATTCGCGATGACAGTCGCAGTGGCAACGGCAGTCGCAGTCACAGCCTCAGCCTCAGCCTGCCTCAGCCTCAGCCTCAGCCTGCCTCAGCCTCAGCCTGCCTCAGCCTCAGCCTCAGCCTGCTTCAGCCTCAGCCTCAGTCTGCCTTCAGCCTCGGCCTCAGCCTCATCCTGCCTCAGCCTCAGCCTGCATCAGCCTCAGCCTCAGCCTCAGCCTGCCTCAGCATCAGCCTGCCTCAGCCTCAGCCTCAGCCTGCCTCTGCCTCAGCCTCAGCCTGCTTCAGCCTCAGCCTCAGTCTGCCGTCAGCCTCGGCCTCAGCCTCAACCTG